AGAAATGAAACAGCACATACACCTAGGAAAGGACAGTGAAAAAAGCAGAGAGGACACAAAGCTGTGTTTGAGCCACTTCTCATCAGACTGAAGGAAGGACAGCATGAGTGGCTTTGTGGTGAGAAGGTCTCTAAAAACATAGCCATTACCCTCATCTCATCTTACCTTTTGAGAAATCTCAAACTTGTGATGAACCTTGTGACCTCTCAGAGCTCTCAGCTGAACTGCAGCTGAAGAGATTCACTGTAAAGGATATAGGCTGCTTCTAATTGTTGATTTTTAACCATGAGAGTTCCTAAGGGAAGTAGCATAGAGTAATAACATTTAATGGTCTTCTGATGAGCATCTGGTACTGGGTGGTTTTTTTCTTTTAAATTGCATTAAAATTAAAACTGCATTATTGCAGAGTCCTCATTTCCTGTTACAAGGCGAATTATGATGCTCTATTGATCGGCAAAGCTGTTTCCCATCCTGCATAAGTGTGGTTAGTGGACAGAATTTAGTTCACAGACACAGACATGTCCTACCAGCCCCCTCAGTTTTGAAAGTTTTTCCCTCTAAATTATTCATAGTGAAACCGCTGATTCTCAAAATTTAAAACAGAGGAGAAAAGGTATAAAATACTCTCATGTATTAATTTATGTGCTATCACATTGAATAAAAGGAAATAGCAAGTTAAGCATGTTCAAGAAGCCACATGATGAGTATAATTGATGCATTCAGCCTATAGAACATGCATATAATAGTCCATTGTAGTTATGGGATGGGCCAGCCAATATTTTTGCCTTGGAGATCATTACTTAAGCAGATGACTCTTGACCCTTTTCTTTTAGTGCTTCAAGAAGTTTGCCAGAAAGTACCCTTTTGTGCCAATCAGCCTTTAATATCTCCCTCTGAGCAGCCTCAGTTTTTCATTTAACTTACTTCTGAATGTTAATCTGCTTTTTATCCCAAGGATCTTTATGAAGAATAAATTGGAGCCTTTTCAGAAACGCAGTTATAAAAGCTTCTTCCTTACTAGTTGAAAGCTTGCCACAGTGTAGCAGCAATGTATGTGTTGTAAAATGATATAAAATTTAACAAAAAGAGAAATCAAAAATAAAAAGGCAATGGTGCAATGCTGGTGAGACATGCTGGGTGTTTCTGTATGGAAACTGTGTGACCTGTGTATTCCATGGAAGCATAGGAAACGCCAGCTGATAAGAGAAACTTACATTTGAAAAGACAAAGATCTACTTCGACATATCTTTGCAGTTCCCATTGGTCCCCATCCCCACAAGGTGCCCAATGGGCAGAATAAAGAGAAAAGCTCACAGCCGAAATGGCAAACCATGTTAGAGTAGATGGCTTAAATAGGTTCTGACTCAGGAAAGGAAGAGTGCTTTCTGACATCCTGAAGATTGGAGTAGTTCATGAAACTAAGCAGTTCCTTTTCAGCCTTGTAGGTGGGAAAAGGGAAGAAGATAGCAGCAAAGACAGCAAAGACTCCGCTGAGGAGACTGATGCATGCTGCTCCCAGGGACAGATGTTGTGTGAATGCTACTGGTACCAAGCTCTTACCTGTGTATGCAGGGACTGGAAAGAAAATCTACATTTTAATGTGAGTTGTATTTCTCTTTCAGGGTTTTTTTTTTTGTCATAAACTACCCTCTTTCAAGGGGTGTGCCAGTAGACCTCTGGAATGAATTATAAGGAAATCCCATATCCTCTTATAAAACAACAAAAAAGCCCAATGTCAAGGGGAATGATAAGGGATCTTTGGTGATTTGAGAACAAGGAACTTGGAGCCCTTTCCCCACACCACAGTAATTACTGGTGAAAAAAACCCTGAAATATGGCTTTTCTGAAGCCAAGGTACCACAGGTTCCTTCCCATTTGTTGTTTTTTTTTTTATGATGAGGCCTTTCTCTCCTCAGTGCACATGATGATACCTACTTTACTAAAAAAAACCTACACAATTGATGGCTGCTTTTTCTTTGCGAGGAAGGACAGACCTTGGCAAAGAATCGCTTCTCGTTCTTACTCCTCACATATGTACGACTTATTATTTATAGACTTGTAGTAAAAATGGGAATTATTTTCTTGACCCCGTAAGTTACAGCTTAAACCAATAAAAGAACAAAGGAGGGGTGCAGAAGAAGTGGACACAAGAAAGGCTTTTGTTTAAAGACTCACACGCACAGCTAATAGTTGTAGCTGGAGAAAAGAGATAAAATACCTCAGATTAATAACTATGACTTTCTGCTGCCTTATTGCTTTCTAAAAGCTTTTCCCTCTGTGGACACAGAGCTGTATAAAAGATGAAGTAGTTGCACTCCATATTTTAGTCATCCCAGTAATGATGGCAATGTTTCTGTTAACAAGCGCATGTTCTCCAAGGAAAGCAATCCTCTCTCTAGTATTTCCAAAAGAAAAGTTAATCGGATTCACTTCATTGTGTTGCCTCTATACTTGCTCTTCCATCCTTTGCTTCTCACTGCTTGACCCTTGTTGAACTACTCATGTAAAGCAACAAAATGCTGCTTTAAGTATATAAATATGGGTGCTCCTGTTTCCTGTGAACAGGTGCTGCTGAGAAAGTGAAGAAGAAACCTGCCAGGATGCCATGACAAGAACTGTATATCAGAAACCTACTGGACAGAAAGCCCAGCTCAAACACTAACTTTGTTTTTGCAAAGCAGGAAACGTTGCTCAAATTTATATAGTAAATATTTATTTGTGCATCACAGGGGGCTTTCATGTAAGCTTAGATTAGCTTGGAAACGAGGACAAGGCCTGAAGTTTTCTCCCTCATTGCAATGAAAGCAATTGTGAGTGGTATTTTTCAAGAAAGTCCCTCAGCTTTTGAGCTAGGCAGAAATACATTACATATGACCTCAATACTGTGTTCTTCAGCAACTAAAGAGGAAGATTTTAGGCTGATATTTAAGTTTTAGAAAATGTCCCAGAAGGATAAGAGAGAGCTAGAGAGAAAGAGATGGGCAAAGACACAGAAGTGGAGAGCACCAGCAAATGGAAAAGGTCACACATATGGGAAAGGAGAAGAGGAACAAGGATAAGAGTGGTGTTTATTTCACAGGGGTAAAATCACAATGTACAAGTGCAGCTTGAAAGAAGCCAACAAAAAGGTTTTTTTTTTTAACTGTAAGAGGCTCAAAATTAGTGTAAAGTCCATTGATTCTACTTCTTTCTCTTGCCTTATACCAGTTCTATTCCAGAAATTACCATTGCATTTGGCAGCAGCAGAAAGACAAGAATCTAGGGAGTCACAGAGACATTCTTAGCCCTGAAGAACTCAAACAAGGTAGGGGGAGTCTTGCAATTAATCACTTGAGTAGACACAGAGGAATGTGCTGCTGTTCACCTATGGCTTTTTCCAGCGCCCTACATCACAACACTCCTCCTACATATTTTTCAAGTGTACAGACCAAGCTTTCCCAGCAATAACCTGGTATGGGGTTGCATTGTCCCCACTCTTCCCTTTCCACATATTTGGCAGCTCTGCCAGGACCTAGGGCCTGGAGGGTAAATGCCTCACAGGTGGTGGTGGATTGCTTCAGCCAAACAAGCCTGGTAATCTTCTGCTTTTATGAACACTAAGTTCACCTTGGATATTGAAGGAAAAATATGCATTAGCTGGGAAGCATGTTGGCTTTCTTCCAAGGCACACTAGTGTGTTTCTGTGCACACCAGCATGGAAACAATTTGCAGGCTGGAGAGGCAGTAAGCCCTCTCTCAAGGAGCTGTGCCACATGCTCTTCTCTCCCTTCACTTCCACAGTCATTCCTTATTCAATCCCCTTTGCTTCAGTTTCACCATCTGAGCTTAAATGTGGCCTTCTGACATAAAGAATCTGGGTGAGTAGAGCCACATTAGCTGTAAAATCCCTAGCCAATCTTATTTTTTGGCATGAAGATGGCTGTTACAGCATTGTTTTTATTATTCATCAAAAGGAAACTTTTCAAAGTAAATACATCAAATACTACATAACATAAGCTCTTCCCAACCACTGCTTCCTCTACTTTTTTCTCTTCCCCTACCTCCTATTTTTATAAGTAACCAAGTTGTTACTCTAGAGTCAATTTCAGGTCATCTTTCATTTGCTCAAAATATATCCTTATTGGCAAGTTATTTTCCCATTATTCAGGAACACACATATTGTTTTACTTACAGCTGTGTGCTGTATTTTATGTTCTCATATAAATGTTATGCCTGGATTATCATAACTAGAGCAAACTGGTTTTAGGGTTTGTTGATGTTGTTATTTTTAGGTTCCTTCCCCTGCATCCAAAACAGGAGAGAAATATTATTTTATCTATTTTTCACTATTTTTATTTAGTTCTTGAAGTGACTGAGCTTTCCACATTTCTCTCTGCGGAAGGTAGATTTCCTTCTTTGGCTGTACAAGTTTCCTTACTTTGGAGAATGATGATAGCTGAGGTTTGTGAAAGATGAACAGATAAGCAGCATTTCTTCTATCCTGGAGAGGTAGGAAAGAAGACAAGGCAGGGACATATTCCAGAAATTCATTACCTACTGTGTAAAAAACCTAGTTTTTCCTCTCTGTTTTAATCTCTTGCTGGTTTCAGTGAGTGTCCCTGTTTCTAGTGTAGTGGAATCTGATGAAATCTGATGAATTCTGCATTTGCTCACTACTGTCTTGACTTTGGGAGCTAATAAAATAAAAGCTCGTATTTACATCTTGAGGGCCCAGTGAGGCAAGCACCCAAGTTCCATTGTCTCCAGGATGTTGTTAAATATTTGCTGAAGTGATGAACTTACTTGAGGTCTTGATGCAAAAGAATGCATTCTAGCAGCAAATGCGTATTTTTATTATTAATCTTATAATGTATTTCATGCCTGTATGTGCTAATGCTTGATGCATTATAGAGGCATACAGTATACAGAAGAGATGGATTTTCTTCTCTGTGGATGAAAAAAGAAAAAACAGAATTTTCCCCTTATTTTTAGGATGTCTGGTAAAGTGGAAGACCCCTGAAGGAAATTATGCTGCAGCCTTGTTGTTTGGGGATTTTTTTCTGCATAGTCTTCTAATGCAGTAAGTCAGAGTTCTTTCCCCCCCTGTTCCCATGAGGGTGGGCCACATGCACCTCTTAAGCTATTCAGTTTATTCATACTATCTGCTTGTTAATTTGTGAATCACTTTAAGGTACTCAGGTCATTAAAGAAAGTCTCCTCCTGGAGGTTTTTAAAAGAGGATTCCTAGATTTTTTGAAGTTAATATATTTGTAGTTTGCATGGGCTTGTTTTTTCTGAGTAAATGTGTGCTAAATGCTAATGTTTGCATTATAACTGAGTGTTTTATTGTAGGTATGATGTTTAACTGCCATCCAAGATTCAAGAACAGAGCATTTGATCCATGTTAGGTGAACTGTTAAAAAATTCTGGTCTCTTTCATTATTTTAACCTCCAAAAAAGAAATCTCCTATAGGATAAATGTTTAAACATTGAGGCAAATGGACAAACAAACAAAACAACCTTTCATCGTTGTTGGTGGGAAAAGTGTGCCTTATACTTTTGCATGACTCACAAGGAGCAGCTGGCACAGTTCTGGTTGCAAGTAATTTTTTGGTTATTTGATGTTTTCAGGAGGAGAGAGAAGAGCTTGTAGCTGAATGGTTTCTCTGGCAACTTCCTGGCTTGAACTTCAGGATGAATGTCAAGTGAAAATGCCAGTGAATGACACTGATCAGGACATGTTTGTGTGACACTTCTCTTCCCCAGACTAATTTAGTTATGCCCCGTTCCACAACAGTTTACAAGTTGTTCTTGAAACAGCAGAGTATCCCAGAGGGACCAGGTTTGCTCTTTGCCCACCTTGGCCTATTCACCTTCCCTGCTGCCCTGGGAGCCTTTGCTGCTGTGCCAATTACAGCCGTGATCGGGGCTGTCTTTAGTGGATATTGATATCTGAACAAACAAAGCAAGAGTCTGGTCTTGATTGCTGATGTCTTTGCAATTTGGCTTCCTGTGGCGTGTTTGTACAGATGTCATGGCTGGTATTCCCCTGCTTTTCAATAATCATGACCATATTGGGGGGTGGGAGGACAGGACCGATTTGCTGTGAGTTTGCTCACGCCCCGCTCCTGTGGTTGTGCTTCTGTTCAAGCCTCACTGCCCTACCCCCTGCTTGGGATGGTGGCTTTTCTTTCCACCTGTCCCTCTTCAGAAGGGCCTTGTGATCCCTCATTCTCAGTCTAGAAGAGTTGTCATTACAGTGACTGTAGTTATGCTGGTCACATCTTGTCTGCAGATGGAATGAGTGCTTAGGGGCACACAGAGAACACCTCAAAGGAAATGGAGAGCCTGAATAAATGACCAGGATCTCAGTGGATCCTTTGTACAAGATACATGGCCTGGATACCCCTCCTTTCCTGAAGACAATGTTCTTTGTATCCTGCTGAGTACTTGCTGCTGTGTTTGCCCAGAACTGGTGTAGTACAGCCCAGCCATGGCCCCCTCGGATCTGCATAGGAGGAGCAGCCAACAAGCAGCTCCAAGCGAAAGGAACTGGAAAGACAGATTTGGGCTCTTTGCTCACCCTGCTGTGTGCTTGATCACAGACAATAATTTCAGTCACACCTTGATTCCTGCTAGACTGAGCTGCGCTATCTATGTAAAACAATTTGCTTTACAGTCAAATGATACTACGAGTTCCCCCATCGCTCCATCCTTTCTGCCTCAGGCAATACCCTCGCTCTTATTTCAAGATCTTTTTCCCTACATGTCTGACAAGTTCAGGGGTGGAGTTGGGAGCACTTAAATCCTCTGACTTTTTGTGGTCAGCAGGACTGTAGGAGCAGGCTGCTCCAAGCAGAACTTCCCCTCAGACTACTTGCAGTCATATCCAAATGGTAGTGGGGAAGAAAGAGAGGCTGATTGTATGCTCTCCAATTTTCTCTATTAGGAAGATCAAAAGAATCTCTGCCTTTACTGGCAAATCTCAAGGATGAGTTGTGGCAGCCAGACCAGTACTGGTCTGTGTTGAACTGTAATCACCCAGAATAAATCAGCACTAATTGCAGTCTAGGGCTGTGATTCCAGAGGGGCTGCTTAAGCACCACACAGTGACCCCCCTGACTGCCTGGTTGTTAAAGCCAGCAGCAAAACTCCCAAGGACATCAGGAGAAACAGGGCTGAGGCTGCGCTATTATGTGCTTTAAAGCCAAATACCTTGCTGCCTCTCTGAGGAAGCAAGACTGCTAAAGTGATGTGGTGAGCATTGTGATGGCACCTTTGGCAGTGTAGCTGCCCCAGTATTTTGGGATCCAGAGGGAAGGTAATACTTCAGCTTTCTGTCCACACGAGAGCTCCACAAAGCTGCTCTGGTTGCCTTGGAGAAGATGAGGTGGCTGCAGGTCAGGTTCTCATTCTTTCCCAGATTTACCCATGGCAAGATCTGCCACCCACTGTGACAGAGGCTATCTCCTGGCCCCGTGGTTGGCTGTGGCACCATCCAGGCTGACCGTTTCTGCTGTGGCCAAGTAAATTGTTGTTCTTTCATTGCTCTCACCTAAGACGATTCATCTTCTTTTGTCTCCAGAGGCAGCAGTTGCTGCCACAAGGGTGATATTATGTTATACTGGCTAAGTAATTTTTGTTACAAGAGTGCAGACAGACCAGCAAAATATTTCCACAATGCAAAAATATGTCTATGGTACCAAATTTTATTTTAATTTCCTTCCCACCAAAACTATATTTGAAACTAATGCAGTTTTAAATATAACTGAAATATGTATAGTATAAATTTCAGATTTTCCTTATAAAAGGACAGACAAGAAAAGGAATTCAAATCAGTTTAGAAGCTCAATTAGACTGAAGATATGAGTGCTGGACAATTTCAAAGAACATTTCTTAGCTGCTATAAAGGGAATAACTTTTTCTTCAATAAAACAAGGTGAAGATTGGGAGCAACATTAGTGCAAAGGCACAAGTATGGTTTGCAAGAAAGCAAAGCGGATGGCCCACCTTCCTGCCACTTGTCCCTGGGGAAAATGCTAACAAGAAGGGCAGGCAGGAATGGAAATGAAATGGCTGTGGTGGGCACATGGCCTGAGCCATGGGAGGTGGGGAGGACTGGGAAGAGCCAGCCCAAGTGCCTGTACACACCAGTCCCACCAGGCTCAGGGGAAAAGACATCCCCCTGCATTAAGTAAGAGGCCAGAAAGCTGAGCAAGCTCAGGGTGAGGTGGGGTACAGCAGAGCTAAGCTGGAAGCTGGGGCTGTGCTGCCTCTTGCCAGGACCTGTCTAGAACTGGGTGATGCCTCCTGCACCATAGGGGATGGCAGCAGAGGTCCAAGCCTTGCACTTGCAAGCTGAAGGCTGGACACCTGGTCCCATTTGTTCAGTTATTAAGAGAAATTAAAAGTAACCCTTGTTTGACTGATCAACTTAGTGCTGAGAAGCTGACACCAATCACTCCTGCACTTGACCCCTTCAGGGCAATTTATAAACACTGGCTAACTAATCTTCCCTGTGTGGCTGGGGGAAGGAGCAGGGATTTTTCTCTTGTCTCCCACCTCCATTTTGTATGGGTTTGATGTGAGATAGGATCCTGTACTTGTTTTCTCCAGGTGACAGTGGCCAGGAGCAGGCCTGGTTGTGTCAATGGGATGAGGCAACATGGCTCAGCAGGACACAGGTGAGGACCACAACCTTGGCTCAGGAGAGAGATTTATAAGTAGCACACCACATTGCTCTTCTTTTTATAAACAATCGGAAATGTCTTGATGCCAGATGCTCAGCTGGTGTAAATCAGCAGAGTACCACAGATTTATACCAGCTGGAGCACTGGCCCCCGTGCCCCAGTGGGAAGGGGATGGGGGAAAGGGAGAGAGGCTGTTTCTGCTAACTGCTCCAGCGACCTTCCTTCTGGGTAAATATCTCCATATGTTAACAAATGCTAATTAAAACCAAAAGCACGGAGGAGCTCTCAGGATGTGTGTGTAACAGAAGCACCCCAGGATCCTGCACTGCTGTAATCTTTCTCCTCCCACTGGATCTCACCTTTTATTTGGTGTTGCACCTCCCTGACTGATATTTAACCTTGTTCCTGGTGCTCTTTGTTGGAGTTTTGCCATGCATACAATATTGCTCTGATGGGTGTCTACAGACACCTGGGGACAAGCCCAGGTGTTTCACTGGTCAAGGGGGAAATATGTTTTGTTGCAGCATGCCTTGCAGTCCTGTAAGTAACTGTGCTCATCAATCAGAAATTGTAGGAGAAGGGACTCTGGAAATATCCTGTCTCCTTTGGCTTCCAGGTGACCACCCTCTCTGTGGACTGGGATAACTCTGAGCATGATCATTTCTAGAGCACAAAGGTGTCATGGTTAAAAAAAGAGAAAAGTACAACCATCTGTAATACTCTAAATATAATAATAAATGAAGACCAGTTTGCCTTGAGGTCAAGTGGTGAAGTGGAATTTTCAGAAGTGGGTTTTTGAAATACCTGTTTGTACAAGGGCTAGAGTATCTCCAGGGGAGGCTGTGCATTGGAGCTGTCATGCTGGTATTAGAGTGACATTTCAAAATGGATAGGATTTAGTATCCGATTACTGTGCTGCCAGTAATGGCAGTTGCAATGTTGTAAGGGGTAGGGATAAATATGTTACACATTCTCAACGTATCATATAGCCAAAACATTTTGGGGAAAATTGAAGTATACATGATGAGTTTCTGGAGATACCCTAGCATTTCACAAGGGGGTCTGTGAGTTAATTAGCAAATCACTGATGTGCTGTCTTTTACTCTCCTTTACTTTGCCAAGGATTTATTAGGGTTTTTTAATTGTCATTGTTTGCACTTGATAGTTCTGGCTTAAGTGGTTTGTATTAGAAATAGACCCAGGAGACTTGCAACAATTTACACTGCCGGTGTAACAGAGGTACATGTGCCTAAATATAATGTATATCTTTATTTCTCGGTTAGAGTGTCGTCCCACTGTCTCTAAATCAGTGGCAAAAATCTTGTTCACTTCTTGTGGGTCAGAGGTGGGTACAAAGTACTGTTTCCTCACCCGATCAAGTCAGCCTAGT